GCCCGGGCAGCTGCTGGGGGTGCTGGGTTTTGGGGGGTTCCCTTCAACTTGCGGGACCCCGGCGGGACAGCCAGACCTGCCCGTGCTTTTGGGTTTGTTTTACGTGCCCTGGTGGCTATCGGACGTGCATGGCATGCCTGCATTCCGGCAGGCGAGGAAGATAAACCGCGGTGGGGCTTTTTTTCTTCGTTTTGCTTTGTGTTGTGGATCCCGTCCCTTCTCGTCCCCACTTCGTTCCCAGGAGCTCGTCTGTGCGTCAAAAGATTATTGCGATAATTAGCGCTAATTTGCTGTCGCTGTCAAAGAGGTGTAAGGGGCCTCCCCGGCTAAGCCGCAGGCACCACTAGAAGAAGCGCCGAGGCATCCGCGGGCAACTGTAAGGGTATAAACAGGGCCCGGGGATGCCGTGGAGACAACGTGAGCCTAAAAGGTGAGGGGGAGGAGGGAAGGAAGGTTAATTACAAAACGTCTAAGCAAAATATCCTCCTTTTGCGCTTGGAAACCTAACCGTAATCCTCCTTTTTCACACGTACTCGCCCAGCGACTCACAAATACGACCAGAAGAAACCTCCAAGTAGCAATGGGAAGGAAACGCATCCTGCGCCAGCAGACATAATCCCCTCTGCTGTAACGAGGGGCTTATCAATGGTTTATATATTTTTAATTTGGGAATTTTTTTTTGTGAGCCATGAAATATGTGCCTTTGCAAACGAGCTCCGATCTTTCCTAGTTCTAATTGGCCAATTACCGTTCAGCTGTTTCACCTCGTCCCGTACAATGGAGATTAAAGCAGGGCTGTTATCTGAATTATATATTCACATAAATTCTAGCAAAGCCGTGCGATGCGCGGGGCCAGCGCCTCTCTGGGAATCCTTGTGCCCTCCTCTCACCCTTCCAAACCAGCGTGGTGTGTGTCTCCCTCTTCCCCAGCACCCCCCACCCCCATTTTCCTCTAGAAATGTCGTTGCTTTGATGATCCGATTGTAGAGCATTGATTACAAATTTATTCTCAGACACTATATAAGTCTTTATATCTGCTATTAGAGACATCTGGGAATGATTAGAGCCCTCCCTCCCCCGGCTCTGCTCCCTCTATCTTGCAGCGAGGAGCTAGAGACATGTTGACGTCAGATCAGACGGCTAGGAGCCATCCTGCTCTCCACTTGGGTGTAATCACG